TAGTGAACAATTACGTAAAGTTAACCTATAAAATTAGAGGAGGAATTACGGAAAGTTCCTAACATTAGAGGGAGAAGGATATCATATACGGCAAAGTTAACGTCAAAAAACGTACAAGGAGAGAATATACTGGATATATATAGTGTATAGTATATATTATACATATATAATAGTATAATACAAATATATATATATATATTATATAATAATATATATATATAATAATACTATATATTATCATATATGATATAGTATATATTATAAACATAATGATATAATAGTATATATATATATATATCTTATAATTATGTATGGTATAAAACATTACGTAAAGTGTAACTCTAACATAGAGGAGGAAACATTACGTAAAGTTAAGCCTAACATCAGAGGGGAGGACATTACCAAGAAGTTAAACCTAACATTAGAGGGAGGAACATTACGTAAAGTTAACCTAACATTCAGAGGGAGGAACATTACGAAAGTTTAACCTAACATCAGAGGGAGGAACATTACGGAAAGTTAACCTAACATTAGAGGAGGAACATTACGTAAAGTTAACCTAACATCAGAGGGAGGAACATTACGGAAAGTTAACCTAACATCAGAGGGAGGAACATTACGGAAAGTTTAACATCCATTAACTAAAGTTAACCTAACACAGAGGGAGGAACATTACGGAAAGTTACCTAACAATCAGAGGGAGGAACATTAACAACCTAACATAGAGGGAGGAACATTACGTAAAGTTAACCTAACATTAGAGGGAGGAACATTACGGAAAGTTAACCTAACATTAGAGGGAGGAACATTACGGAAAGTTAACCTAACATTAGAGGGAGGAACATTACGGTACGGAAAAGTTAACCTAACATTAGAGGGAGGAAATTACGAAAGTTAACTAACATTAAGGGAGGAACATTACGTAAAGTTAACACCTACTAGAGGGAGGAACATTAAAGTTAACCTAACATTAGAGAGGACATTACGGGAAGTTAACCTAACATTAGAGGGAGGAACATTACGGAAAGTTAACACCTAACACTAGGTACGGAAAGTTAACCTAACATCAGAGGAGAACATTACGTAGTTTAACGCTAACATCAGAGGTAGGAACATTGAACGGAAAAGTTAAACTAACTAACATTAGAGGAAGGAACATTTACGGAAAGTTAACCTATACATCAGAGGGAGGAACATTACGTAAAGTTAAACTAAACATCAGAAGGGAGCGAACAATTAACTGAAGTTAACGCTATAACATCAGAGGGAGGAACATTAGCGTAAAGTTAACCTAACAGTTAGAAGGAGGATACATGTATGGTGAGAGTAAATATTAACACTAACATCAGAGGGAGATAGGAACATTAACGCAGATTATAACTTAATAACATCAGAGGGAGGAAAACTTACGTAAGTTAACGCTAACATCAGAGGGAGAACATGTACGATTAAAGTTAAACCTAAGAACATTAGAGGGAGGTTAAAACATTACGTAAAGTTAACGCTATTAACACTAAAGAAGGAGGACATTAAGGAAAGTTAACCTAAACATCAAGAGGGAAGGTAACAATTACATAATATAAAGTAACCTATACAAATCAGAGGGAGAACATTCACTGTGCAAAGTTAAACCTAACATCAGACGGAGAGCAAACTTACGGAAAGTTAACCTAACCATTTAAGAGGGAAGGAACATAATATAAGTGAAAGTTATACATATAAAACATCGAGGAGGAACATTTACGTAAAGTTAACCTAGACAGTTAACAGAGGAGAGATGGTTAAAACAATACTAGGGAAAAAGTTAACACACTAAACAATAAGAAGAGGGTAGGAACATTAACGAAAGTTAATACCTATATACATAATTAGAGAGAGGAACATTAACGTAAGTTAACCTAAATCAGAGGGAGGAACAAATTACGGAAAGTTAACGCTATTTTTCATAAATATTATAACATTAGATGTGAGAGGTAAAGCATTACGTAAACGTTAACCTAACATCAGAGGGAGGAAAAATTACGGAAAGTAACCTTATATCAGTCACAAGAGAGGGAAAGGAACATTACGGAAGTTAACGCTAATCATTAGAAAGGAGGAACATTACGTAAAGTTGAACACTATAACATCTAGAGAGGATGGAACTATTAACGGGAAAGTTAAACCTATAAACATATATAGAGGGGAGGAACATTAGCGTGAAAGTATTAAACACTATACAAATAGTAATGGAGAGTGTAACATTACGTAAAGATAGTTAACCTATACATATCAAGAGGGAGGAAACATTACGTAAATAGTAGAAGTTAATCACATAACATCTATTGATGAGTGAGGAACATACGTGTAGAGAAAGTTAATATTCTAACATTTAGAGGAAGGAACATAACGCAAAGTTATACCTAATACATTATTAGATAGGAGGAGAAGCATTACGTAAGAGTTAACCTAAACACTGTAAGAGGTGAATGGAAACATTACGTAAAGAGTTAACCTACCATTAGAAGGAGGAAATCATTACTGGAAAGATAATCTCTAAATCATACAGATGGTAGGAACATAATACGGAAAGTTAGACCTAGACATCAAGATGGGAGAGGAACATTACGGAAAGTTACACCTATACATCAGAGGGAGTAAAGAAACAATTACGCAATTATAGTTAGTATCACCTAAGCTATTAGAGAGGAGGAAAACTACATTACGGAATAGTTAAAACCTTGAACATTTGAGGAGAAGTAACATTTAACGTAAAGTATTAACCTAACTATATCAGAGTGGTAGGAAAATCAATACGTAAAAGTTATACACTATACATCAAGGGAAGGATACAATATACGGAAAAAAGTTTAACCTAAACATTAAGAGGGTAGGAACATTACGGAAAGTTACATAACTCAGAGGGAGGAACTATTACGAGAAAGTATTCAAAACCTAACATTATGGAGTGAGAGAGGAAACATTACGTAAAGTTAACCTAACATTAGAGGCGGAGGAACATTACGGAAACAGTTAACTCTAACATTAGAGGGAGGAACATTAACGTAAAGTAACCTACATTAGAGGGAGGAACATTAGCGTAAAGTTAACTAACTAAGAGAACATTTACGGAAAGTTAACTGCTAACCATTTATGATAAGGGAGAGTAACATTTACGGAAAAGTATTATACATAACATCAGAGGTAGAGTGAGAAAAGCATTACGGAAAGTTATACATATTAAACAATAGAGGGAGGAACATTACGGAAAGTAACTCTTAAATTTAGAGGGAGGAACATTACAGAAAGTAAACCTAATCAGAGACATTAGGAAAGTTAACCTAAACATAAGAGGAGGAACATTTACGTAAAGTTAAACCTAAACTATCGAGGCGCAGAGAATTACTTTAAAGTTAACTATACATCAGAGGAGGAACATTATCGTATAGTTAAACACATATATAATCATTTAGATGGAGAGTGAGAACAATTAGCGTTTAGTTTAAACTAACTAATCATATAATAAGGGAGGGTAACATTACGAAGAAATATAATAATATAAAAAGTTAACCATAACATTTAGAGGGACGTGAGAGCATTATCGGAATAGTTAACCTAACATTAAAGTAAGGAAACATTACGGAGAAAGTTAATCAGCTAACATTAGAGGGAGAGGACATATACGTAGTAAGTTAACTATACATCTAAGAGAGGGAGGAACATTACGTAAAGTAAACACTAACATCAAGAGTGAAGGAACATTAATCAGTAAATTATTGTTAACCTATAACTATAATAGAGGTGAAGGATACAATTACAAGCAAAGCAAGTTAACCTTATAATCATATAAAAAGGAACATTGCGTAAAAAGTTATACCTATATTAAGAATGGAGGAACATACGAAAGTTAACCATAAAATTAGAGGGATTGGAAGACAGTTACGGAAAGTTTAACATATACATCAAGTCAGTAGGAGGAACATATACGTATAAGATTAACTAACAATCATGAGGATGAAACAATTACGTAATTTAATACATAAAACATTTAGAGAGGGAATTTATTAACTATAATAATAATGGCGGGAACAAGAAGTGTCCGAGAATCGATAAGATTTTGAGGGATGTCAGTGCAAGCTGATATGAACCTTGGAGACAACATAACTGCATTTCGTGAAAAAAGAAAGTAAATTGGAGTGAATCTCACTCTATATATGGATGAGTTGCTATTCATGCTGAATCAAGGAGCCTAAAGGTGGGGGGTAAGTGAAGTCACATTATGTAATTATTTATCAGAGAAGAAATTATGTATATAGGAAAATTATATCCATTATAAGTCAGTACTACTAAGAAACACACTTCACATGATGGCCGCAGTTATTCTGAAAATTGCATTGTCGTAAAAGGAGATAAAAAATATGTTCACCAAATGAACAGAATTAATGATTGTGGAACTTTATTGAAAGGGGAATTTACTATGTGTCTCTCGTTCTATATGTAAATTGATATTTTCAGGTATTTAATACGAACACACGCGTTTATATATTATATAATAATGCACACACCACACATGAAGAAAGTGTGCTGTGATGTGTGTTGTGTGTGTGTGTGTGTGTGTAGTAGTGTGTTGAATGTGTAGTGTGTGTGTGTGTGTGTGTATTGTGATGTGTGTGTGTTGTATGTGTTATATATCATTATTATATGGCATAATATCACTACTTATAACAGGAAATGACATATAAAAAAGGCCGGCCATATGATCAATCCGGTTACCTTCTAGAATTTTATCCGGCACTGAGAGAACTTTCATAATCAATTATACATGCATATATTGCCTATCGCAACTGTTTTCTGCGAGTCGCCCGCTTATGTTTTGACTATGGACAGCTGTACTTAATCATCGCAAATCAGCTGTTGGCCAAAACAACATACACACTCACATTTCATCTGGGTTTGGGCGTGTGGTGGCTGGCAACAAGAGGACACCTGAAAGACAATATCTGTTCCCTTCCCTCCTGCAGATGATCCAGGACGTGTTTCTTCCAGCCGCAGCAGAGCGCCGACTCCGCCGCCAGTGTCAGAGCAGAGGAAATGGTGTCCGAAAACGATATCTATGTGTCTGCCGACGAAGGTAATGCAGTGGCGATGTCTTTACTTTCTGGATTTCCTTTTGATATTACTATTTTTTATCGATTGTAACCGTCTGCACATGGACCTGGACGTAGGACCTGTATAAGCGTTGTATCCTAGATGTCTTGTCTTCTTCCCACTCTCCTTCCTTCCCTACCTCCTCCTTTCCCCACTTTCCTTAAAATTTCTCTCTTAATCCTATACCTCCTCCCGTAAATCCAGCTCTAAACCTAGTACCAATACCTTTAACCTCGCCCCTCCCTACCTCTCTATACTCCCCTACGCATTCTAATGTTTAATCCTCTCTTACCCACCTCTCACTTAGATAGTCCTCTTGAGAGTTCCACCCCCCCCCCTCCCAATCACCAGTTGCCAATATAACTCTACCATTCTTACCTCTACACTTCAAAATCCCTCCTGCAACCTACTTCTTCCCATACCAACTCCAGCCGCTCCCCAAAGCCCTTCTCCATCCACTCCTACGCTCAATTCAATCCCTCTCTCCACTGACGACCCGCCTCCTCTAACCTCTTAAAGAATAATCCCCCCCAGTCGTGCCGAGTTCCATGGTGACTGCGAGGGGATGCGGAGACTCGGTCGAAGCTTCGAGCGGGGACTGAGCCAAATTATCTACGATGCTGATAGAGAGGATGAGTGAGCCCACAATAACGCCTCATCAAGCCCCCGAGGGCAAAGCGGGTGATGCGCTTGGTCCATGGGCAGAATGCGGCGTCTATCGGACTACAATAATAATCAACATCTTCCACACCTGGAGGCGGGGACGCTTAATAAGCTGATCTGGGGAGAGGTGTTCTCGCTTCGTCACCCAACAGTTGCAAGGGCGGGAGAGCGAGTGCTATTACCCGTTGAGGCGCCGGTGTCTCGCAGCGTCACGGCTTCCTGCTTCACGCTGTGTTCCTGCATTACACGTAGAATATATTATATATGTATATTAAATATATATATACTCTCCATTAATCTTTTTTGCTCTGTGTCTTTTCCCATCGCTAGATTTTAGTATATAATGGTCATCCATGGCTTTCACAAGATGCAAGATTCTTGTCTGCTTTATAAACGTAATTTGAATTGAGTGAATTAATTATTTTTCTTTTGTCGCAAATGATCCTCTTCTACCCATCTAAAATAGGTTAGGGCCCTTTAGGTAATCAGCATATTGTACTCAGCTTCGCCGAGAAAGCCGACAGAGGCATTCACTTCAATATTTCAGTTCTATCGCCTGAAATCGCATTGGTTTCCTGTCATTTTCGGAATGTCATTCTCAAAAATTAGTACTCTATCATTATCAGTTTGCGATGGAAATGTCATGTATGGAAAAGTTTCTTTGCTTTCATAGAATCATTGTCAATCATTTCTTGCTTTGATACGCCCTTCATGTCTCCCTCTTTTACTTTTCCTCCTCATTCTTTTTGTCTCATTTTGTATTATGAGCACCGTCATCGCCGTAGCCGCTTCCTCCTCCGTTTGCACCTCCCCTTTGGTCGCGTCTCACCCCCGCCTCCCCCGCACAGGGCCGGCAGATCCACGCCATGGTGACCAAGGAGAAGGCTCGCACGAGGACCTCCGGCCTGAGCCTGACGCCCTCCCTCCCGGTGGGCCAGGTCACGCCGCCCGAGCCCTCCGACGCGCCCGTCATCACCATAGGAGGGCACACCTACGAGGAGGTCGAGGTCATGCAGAACAAGGTTGGATCTGGTTCCTTTGGGTCGAAAGATTTTCGTAGCTTTTTTATTAAACCTTTATTTAGACGTATCCTCTTTTGTGTAAGAGATCTATATCTTTTGATACACAGTCAATGGTCCCTAGCAAAAATAAGGGTAAAATAAAGCATTCCCTTGGCGCTGCCATTGCTGTATGAAGGACAAAGAGTAACAGGACCTCCTTCCCGCCCCTCCCCCAGCCCAGCCCCACCAAGCCGCCCCGCCCGAGCCAAAATAAATTCCCGAACGACAGCTCCTCCTCCGCCGAGAGCCTTTCGGCGGCGCCTGTGCCCATCGCCTTCGCCAACATCAAGTCCCCGCGTACCAGCAGCGTCTCCGGGGGCATGGACGCCAGACAGGGGATGATGCCCGCCGCCCATACCCTGCCGCGCATGGCCCACTTACCCCGATGACGACAGAAAACATCTACTCGAGCCTAGATACGTTAATTATATAGTTATAATATTTATAATAACTAATATGTTATTATTAATACTACAATATATAATATAATTAATGATATAATCGAAGGGGTTTATATATATATATATAGTATATGTATGACTATATCGAGGGGGAATAATCACCACCTACAAGCTTGGAGACCTCACGGGACCGGACGGTGTACGACAAGACCATGAGTAAGGGGTCCCGGGTGGAGTCGGGTGGTCGGGAGTGGGTTTACCGGTGTCGGGTGGGTCGGCCGAGCGGTTCGTTGGGCTCTATAAATGACGCTACCTCCATTTATACATCTCCGAGCTTCTCTGCATAGGCGATGATATGCGACTGGTATTCTATGGCTCACTTTTCTGGGATTTTGGTAAGGAGAGAGAGAGAGAGCACGAGAAGAGAGAGTAGAGGAGAGAGTAGAGAGAGAGAGAGAGATAAAGTAATAAGATGTTGTATGTAGTATGAATGTAAGACGAGAGAGAGTGTGATGAGAAGTGAAATGGAGTTGTAGTTATGATATTATATGAGTGTAGACCTGTTCGATAATATTGTCATAGAGTTAGTAGCTTTATGAATGTAGAGTGGAGTGAAGAAGTTGAGTGAATGAGAGAGAGAGAGAGTAAGAGAGAGAGGGATAGAGAGAGAGTAGAGAGGGTAATTTATGAAGAGAAAAATGAAGGAGGAGTGATGAGAGAATGAGGTGAAGTTGAATGTGATTGAGCTAGTATATGATATGAGAGATGATGAGAATTTGAGATGATAAGAATTGTAGAAGATGAGGTGTATTTTATGTATGAGATGAAAGAGAGGAGATAGAGAGATGAGTATGAAGTGGAGATAGAGAGAGTATGATAAGTTAAGTGTGATTTATGAGAGAGAGAGAGGAGATAATTAGAGAGCGAGATGAGGATATTGAAGAGAGTAGAGAAGAGAGAGAGATGAGAGAGAGATGAGAGAGAAGAGATAGATGAGACGAAGAGATGAAGAGTATGAAGAGAGAGAGAGAGAGGAGAAGGAAGGGAGAGATGAGTAGGAAATAATGTTAGTTAATAATATATATAGTAATATATAATATAAGATCTATATATTAATAAAGAGATAATATATAGAAGGATAGAGAGATGGAATGAAGAGAGTGATAGAGAGAGTATAGAGAGAGAGAGAGAGAGATGAGAGAGAGAAGTGGATAGAGTAGAGATTGAGAGAGAGAAATAGTGACGAGAGAGAGAGAGATGTAAGAGAGAGAAGAGATGAGAGAGAGAGAAGAGATGAGAAAGAAGAGAGAGAGTAGAAGATAAATGAGAAGGAGAGAGAGAGAAGAGAGAGAGAAGAAGTAAAGAAGAGGAGAGAGAGAGAGAAGAGGAGAGAGAGAGATGAAGAGAGGTAGAGATAGAGAGAAAGGGTAGGGAGAGTAGAGAGAAAGAGAGTATAATAAAAGAAAGAATAAAAGTTAATAAGTTAGAGAGATATGTATGTACAGTAGATAGAAGAAGTTAGAGAAAGAGAGTTAGAGAGAGAGAGTAGATAGTATGAATGAAGAGAGAGGGATAAGGGAGTGGAGAGAAGAGGAGAAGAGAGGGAGAGAGAGAATGGAGGGAGAGAGAGAGGTAGTAAAGATAATGATATTTAGATAGGGAGATTAATTGGGAGATGAAGGGAGTATATGAGGGAGAGGGGAGATATGGATAGAGATCCGAGGAGATAAAGAGAATAAGAGATAAGAAGTGAGAGAGAAGAGAGAAAATAGAGAAGTGAGAGAGAAGAGAGAGAAAAGGTATAAGGTTAGAGAAGTAATAGTAGATAAGAGAGTAGAGAGAGATGAAGTATGAAGAGAGAGAGAGTAAGATGAGAAGAGAGCAGAGGAAATGAAAGAGAGTATGATAGAAAGGGAGGAATGTAAAATTAGATAGAGTAAGAGAAGTAGATGTAGATAAATAGGTAATAGGGAGATGAGAAAAGATAAATAGAGAATGAGATAGTAGGTACTATAAAATAGGGAAGTATCATATAGAAGAAGATAAGTAAGAGATAATATGGAGATAAAAAGAGAGAGAGGAGATAGAAGAGAGAGAGACGAAGTAACGAGAGAAAGAGAGAGAGAGAGAAGATGAGAGAGAGGGAGAGAGAATAAGAGGGAATAGATAAGAGATAGTAAGAGAGGATGAAGAGATGAAGAGAGATGAAGAGAAATAGGAGATAGAGGAGAGAAAGAGAGAGTAGAGAGGAGAAGAGAGAGAGAAGAGGATGGATATAGATAGATGAAGATGAATGAAGCAATTAGTGAGAGAGTATAGATCTTAGAAAATAGAGACGATAGGTAGAAGAGATGAATGATATGAAGAAGTATGAGTATAGTAAGAGACTGAATATAAGTATAGAGATAAGAAATGATTAATAGTAATGAAGAGAGAGTTAGTAGAGGATAATATAATAGGTAGATAGAGTAAACCGAGTAGTAGAGTAAGAGAAATAGAAAGAGAAGATAATATAAAGTGAAAATAGAGAGAGAGAGAATATATAGAAGAAGATAATACGATGTAAGTAAAAAAGAAAAGAAAATAAACTAAATAGATATATGATATATAAGATGTAAAGTAATAAGAGAGAGAGTATAAGTAAGAGTATATAAGAGTAATAGAAGAGAGAGAGAATGAATGTAATATATAAATAAAGAGGTATAGAGGAGCATATATGGTAGTTAATATAAGATTTTATATATATATATATATATAATATTAATAATATATAATAAAAATATTGCGAAGAGGGGCGAGAGATAAAGAGGGTTATAGAATGAGAATATATTTGTGTATAGTAAATAATAGAGTTATAAGAGAAACGAGGCTACAGTATTATAATATAAAGGATCAGGATATATATGTATATGTATAGAGAGGTGTCATGATGAGAAGTATATATAGTATGAGTGAGATATATATATATTATATGTAGTGGAGGAGATATGATGGAGAGTTGTAGAGTAATGGAAAGAAGTAGTTAGAGAAGAGAGAAGAAGAAGAGTATAACTAATAATGAGTAATAAAGAAGCGATATATATTAATGTAAAGAAGAGATGAGAAAAGTATAAGAGATAGAGAGTATAGCAATATAGATTATTAGAGATATCACATAGAGTAAGAAAGGTGGAAAGAATAATATATATGAGATTATATAATAGCAGTATTATATATTAAGAATGTAGATATAGAAGATTAGAGAGTATGCAAATGAATATATGAGTTAAGGAGTAAAAGTAAGTATGAATAGAATATAGCAAATATATGAGATAAAGATATAGTATAGTAATAGATGAGAGATAGTATATACTATCGTTATATAATAGTATATATATAAGATAAGGATAGGAGAGAGGGATAGGAGAAGTAGAGGAGAAGATAAGAGAGAAATAAATAATAGAAATAAAAATAAAATATAAGAAAGAAAGAAAGAGAAGAAAGAAGATAGGTAAGATGAGATGACTAATAGAAGAGAAAGAGAAAGAGAGAGAGAGAGAAGAGAGAGGAGGAGAGAGAACAAAATTATAAATCTAAGACTCAACCGATTTCCCTTTCCTTCTGCAGCCACTGACAACACCTATGACACGCTGCAGCACTACCAACCACCGAACAAGCCGGTAAAGCAGTTTCTCGTTTCGTTCAGCCAAGTTTGCTCTTACTTGTGATCTAGCTTTATACCTGTACCAATAACCCCCGCCCACCCATCTATCTATATTATATACATATAAATATAGATAGATAGATAAATATATACATATATATATACATACATATATATATATATATATATATATATATATATATATATATACGACAGAGAGAGAGAGGAGAGAGAGAGAGAGAGAGAGAGAGGAGAGAGAGAGAGAGAGAGAGAGGAGAGAGAGAGAGATATATATATATATATATATATATATATATATATATATATAGAGAGAGAGAGAGAGAGAGAGAGAGAGAGAGAGAGAGAGAGAGAGAAGAGATAGGTAATAGATAGATAAATATATATATATATATATATATATATATATATATATATAGAGAGAGAGAGAGAGAGAGAGAGAGAGAGAGAGAGATACCAAAGCTAACGCCCCCAACACCTCTTCCAGCTGACGGAGGACCACTACGCCAACAACCACATCCTCGCAGACCCCGCCAGCCCCGCGCCCAGACCGCCCCAGTTCCCGCAGCACATCGTGGTCAACCAGGAGGCGACCTACGCCGTCGTCAGCAAGCTGCGCCCCAAGCACCGTTCGGGCCCGAGCAGAACAGACAAGCCCGACGGGGTGACTTCGCTCCAGGAGAACAGCTTGATCTGAGGCGGCGACGGGGCGCTGTCCCAGGCGGAGGCGCGGGAGGGACTTGTCATATATATATATATATATATATATATATATATATATATATATATATATATAATATATATATATATATATATATCGGTGTGTGTATGTATATCATAGTCATACTTTTATATATGATCACACACAATATGTATATATATATATATATATATATATATATATATATATATATATATATATATATATATGTGTGTGTGTGTGTGTGTGTGTGTGTGTGTGTGTGTGTGTGTGTGTGTGTGTGTGTGTGTGTGTGTGTGTGTGTGTGTGTGTGTGTGTGTGTGCGTGTGTGTGTGTAAATATATATAGCCCAAGGTATGAATCCTAACTAGGTGATGGCAGAAGTAACGGAATGAGAGAATATACCGATAGCGTCTGAGATCCTGAGAGATCAAAGATAGTCGAAAGCAAATAATTTCCTTGGGTGATGGTTTGACCTTGTTCCTTCCTCTGCCGCCGTGTATTAACCTGATTTTTTTTATATATATATATTCCCATGAGGCCTGAAATCCTCCCCGTGTTGTATCTAGACTTCTAGATAAAAGTGTACCCTAGCCATGCTAGACATTATAACCCTTGGGGCATTTGCAGTCATAATGCCCAACCAATATAGTCCTGTTGCACTTTATATATTTGATAATGCAGAGCTTACGTGTGATGTTCTTTGGCTAACTCCGTGTTGCATTTTTGTGATTACTCAACATTAATAAAAAAGTATCACAGAGCTTTTTTTTCCTTGGGTCTGAGGTTGCTTTTTACTGATGATAGCAATGGTCACTTTCTCTTCAATATTTATTCGTCTATACATTTATAACCATAATGTATTATTGGTAATGCTGTATTATTGCTAAGGGTAATAATAAGAGTAAATGATGCATTGTGGAATTCCATTTTTCTCTCTCTCTCTGAGCAGTTTGGTCTTAAAGGAAGTGTGTAAATTCAACCTGATAATAAAATTTGTTATCATATTGTTGAAGTTTTATAATCAAGCTTTTTCACTTACTAAAGGGATCATAAATGTAAATGTACTCTTAAAAAACGTGACTCACATACGATAGCATCAGCAAGAGCGAAAGCAGAAAAAAATACCAAAAATGATGACATAGAAACGAAAAAAAAAAAAAAATGTTTAATCACCATAATGATAATTGTTTTGCACTGAAAAAAAAAAATACTGGAACAACATTAGGTTTCCGGAATCATGCGTCAACCAGGGCGAGAAATGAGAAATTATCAAATCTAGAATAACATTGAATGTTTTTATTATTAAAGAGAACAGTCGTATTTACTCTTATTAATCTAGAACGTTAAATGGCAGCTAACGCTTTATCGCTGGCCTTTCGGTAAATTTCTCGTCTTTTTAGCTTTAAATTCCTAGGAGAAGGATAACTGTGGAATTAAGGGATAGGCCTACATTCACATTAATACCCTAACGGCATATTCCAAGACATTCTAATATGTGTGATTTATATCATCACATTGATGTAACTAAATCAAACAGATTTAGGTATACATGACCTACAATATCATCGGACATCTGAGATATGACGAAGGGAAAAAGGGGAAAATACAGTGCCATTATTAGGAAGTCCCTGGGGCACCATCTGACCTTAACCCAGCCTTGTTTATCATCAGCTTTATCTTTACCTTATTTATCATTTACTGCCGAGAAGAAACGAAGCAATCCGAGAGAATGTAAGACGTATTTCGACAAATTATACGTTTCAGCCCGAATGCGTGAGTTGATCTTGATTCCGTAACGGTCTGTAATCAGATTATCAAAGCGATGTGATTAAATAGGATAAACAGAAAAAAAAAATGAGGAAGAAATACACATTGAAAGACTAACGATTTGCACACGACAGAAAACGGGACACCAGCTCGACTAGGAAAATGAAAAAAGCCGCTACTAAACCAAATACTAAAAACAGGAAAGGTCCTTGCATGTGCGCGGTGGTCAGTGCTTTGGCTTGGCTGTCGGAGGTTGCTTCGTCGCCGCGACCCTCCTGCCGGCGCTGCTTATTAAACATGGCCGCGCGTACCTCCTCCATCAGGTCTTTGTGCCATTTGAGGAACATTCCGCTCTGGAGAACAGGGATCGTACGTGTAAAGTTTTCGAAACTGGAAATAAGGGTGCATTAATGTAAACAAATACATGCAAACACACACATATACAATCCATAGATGTCAACGAGATGCTCGAAGGCCGGATGGTTCCCACTGAGCACCTCTGTACCCGGCAGCTGTCTTCCTCCTTCAGCGGACGCAGGAGTTCACTCTAATTAATCTCATGACCCTTCTGTGGCGTAAGCAAGCATACTCCCTATCAAGGAATAGCTTCATAAAAGAACTTCTCGTCAGAACAGAGAACAAGGCAGAACAGCAGACAGACGACGGTCCCACTCGCCACCGCTCCGCCCTCGGCACCTGGGCCATGGGGTCTCTCGTGGGGTTTCACATACACCTTGCCCAGTAAACCCTCCAGCAAAAAACCCTCTCATTCACCTGCTCTACGACCCAATCTCTTACTTTCACATCTTGTGGCTAGTGGTGGGCGAACCTCACAAGACCACCCTCATGCTTTCACAACATATATATATATATATATATATATATATATACTCATGCTTTCACAACATATATATATATATATATTCATAGGGCTTACATACATACATATAAGTAAAAACACGTGGTAGGACTGAGCTGCACTTTTTGTGTGATGCTGCAGGAAAGTCATAGATCAGAATGTGCTGAGGGGGAGGGAGCCATACGTAGTAGAAAGCATCTAAGTACTTATTTAAACCTTGGTAGACAGTAGCGAAAGGGCAGCCGAGAACGGAGATGAATGGGCGAGATAAGGAAAAGAGATAGACGGAAGATGACGTCAAAAGAAGCTGAAGGTGACAGATGCTAAAAAAAGAGCAGATGTAAGATGGCTGAGAATTTTGAAGAAAGGAAAATCTTTTGGAAGCAGCATTTACGTTGAAGAATCGATGCAGGTCGGAAGTTGTGAATGATGGATATGGACAGATGTTACTAGATAGGAAAACAGAAACAAATAGGGCCTTGAAGAACATGAAATAGACGCAGTTTCTAAGGAAATGGGGTAGAAGGCGTCCTTGAAGAAATGAAGTAGTTGGGACTTTGAAGGAAATAGTCAGTTTTCCCAACCGATTTGAAAGGCTTCGTGGAGTGCTGTTTGAAGAAAGAAGAGAGACTGGCTGATCAAGCTGCTAAATACTTGTAGTGTAGCTGGCATAGGAACTGGTGACTGGATAAGTGCATGTATTATAATTTTATTAAAAAAAATAATAATAATAACTTTTGGGTGGGCGTTGGTGAAGAGAAGAAAAGAGCAATGAAGGTGCTTTGAAAAGACCCCCTCCTTAGGGCGTGTGCCCAGAGAAACTAGGTTTGCCCGCGACTGTAGCACGAAGAATTAGACCATATAAACAAGTGTGGGCATGCACAGAGGAAGCAGGTTCAAGCATGTCGGCGCCAGCAACCTGCTTCAATCCGCTTTCCTGTTTGCTCGGATCATTCTTGCCTGCTCAACCCGCGTGAGTGGACGCTATTGAGATCAGGGTGGATGTTGAGCTCCTGACAGCCAAAGTTTATGAGACAGCCAGTGTGGAACAAATGGAATAAGCACCACGCCAACAGGAATGTGGTGGATAGGCTGAGGACTGAAATCAGGAAAATTCTGGAATAAAATAGAGCATTCGCGAAAGGATACTTCATAAGCATAGTCCTTTTATGTCCCAAAGGATATCGATAAACGTGATACTTTATTCAGCCTACTACTTACTCCCCAGTATTTAGTTCATTCAAGGGGCTGCCACACTACAGCGGGTCGGAACTGCTTTCTCTGTGCATGCACCCTACTCGGGATTACAACACACGACCAACAAAAATAATCAGATGAATACATGAACCTCCGGCATTCCACTGAACCTCCGGCCCTCCACTGAACACAGCTGAAAACTCACCTCAACAAAGGCGAGGAGGAGACGGTCCAGCTGGGGCTTGTATGGGGCGCCGTGAGGAATCGGGTAGCTAATGAAAACCGTGTCCAAGTTTGTCTTCGCCATGTACAGCTTCGCCTTGCCTGTCGCGTCCGTGAAATTCTGATTTATGATGTAGTCCAGAAACGAGCGACTGGATATGACTGCGTGGCTAGGGAAGGAAACATTTATGGAGTCGGTTCTGTTTTCAGCGTTGCAGTCCTTTGCTTATCTGAATCGTTAATTGATGTATATACCAGTATATGCAAGACAAAGATGGAAGACTAGTTAACAAAGACAAAAAAATATGAATTAAACAGCCATAGAAAGATAAGGAATTAAGCCAATAACCATAAGTCAGCCTACTTTTTTTCTGTTGTTAACCGAAGTCCTTCTTCCATCGACGGACCGATGTAAAGCAGCTTCGCGATGGCTTGAAAAACCTCAGAGTTGGAGGCCTCGTAAAACTTCTTCCAGTCTGCTCCATAGGGCGGAATATTGATCCTATGACAGGACGTGTAGGTGTACAGTTAGATGCATGTATATGTATGAGTATATGCAATCACGGTAAAATAATAACCATGATCATCTGAGAAGTTGAATGAATATTTCGAAAGGTATTCAGAACGTTCATTTCGCCGTGCCCCTTCGTCCACACACCTTTCCACGACCCTGACCATCTCGGCAGCCGTCTCAGGCCGCGGTGGGTACATGGGCGAGGTGAGAGAGGCCGTCAAGTTGCCCCTGTACGCCACGCCCACGACCAGAGCAACCACCAACCACGTGGCGACCACCAGGCGACTCGCGGTCGTTCTGGCACGCCACTGGCTGAAGTCTTGGCCAAGGAGGATCTTGTAGACTTCCAGAACTGACTGGCTGAGGTCGGGGTACGTGGCGCGTCCGATGTGGCCAAGCTGGGAAAGGGGTTTTGAAGGCGCGTCACTCGCCACTGACAGCACGCTCATACTCATATATTTACATACACACACACACGCGAATGCACACATAGAAAAAAGAAGAAAAGAAAAGAAAAAAAACGAAACCAGAAACACACACACACACAAACCCCCCAAAACAACAACAACAGACACACCCACCATCTTCAGCACCCCGGCCAAGACCACCAGAGCTGCAATGACCGCCACCCACACCTCCCACGACAAAGGGAAGAGCAAGTTATCCCATCTCGGGGCGAGCGAGGGCGTGGCCATGACGAAGGTCTGAGAGGTCATCCCGTATTCCCGCGTGAATCCATACTGCTGGAGGCGTGATGGCAGAACGACGTAACCGTTGGCGGCCATGAAGGAGGTCCTGTCCATCACTCGCTCGACCACCTGCAATGGGTCGTCGTGTGAATGCTGCCGACTTTACTGTTTTCATTATCGCTATTACTGTTATTATTATTCCTTCTACCTCCTGTCATCATTGTTGTTTTATTTTTGTTATTACCACTTATCAATTTCATCGTTAGTGAACCGCATTCACGTTGATAGATGTAGAAAAAGGTATGAATGAGAATGAATATATTCACAATACAAGAGATGTATTTGACTGGTTTCGAATACATCTTCGAAACCGGTCCAATACATCTCTAGCATTATAAAGATATTCATTCTCATTCGTACTTTCTCTACATACACCATCAGTATTATCAATATTGTTAAAATCATCATCATTATTACTATTATCCTCAATTTGTTCATCATCATTATCATACACTATCATTATCATTATTAGCATCGCTTCTTATCACCGACATTGATGTTTTTACAAGGATTCCAAGGTTTATAAACATCTGTGTTATAACTGGGAGGGAACATTCTGTATTATCATTATCGTCATTGCATCATTATCATTGTCATTTGTTGTTGTTGTTGTTATTATTGTTGTTATTATAGAAAGCAGAGAGATAATAATTACGAAAGAAAATATAAACGAAACAAACAGATAAAAGGAGAGAAAATATTCATAAACAATCCTAGAACACACAAAGCAATCACAAAACAAGAACATAACACCAAAACAACAACCAGCAAACTGTATAGGGAATATTTATCAATATCCAGAAAAAAAAACTATATGCACACATCAAAAGAACATTGAAATAAAAATGTAAACAAAGTGTAAATCAGTCTCTCTAAAACCCACGACCCACAACACAAACAAAGATCCCCCCCCCCACCCACCGGCCCACACCACCAACCAACCCCCCCCCCTAAAAAAAAATCACAAACCCGAGCAAACACACACCCACCTCGATGAAATTCGCCGTCGGGATGATATCAAACGTGAAATTAAGAGCCTTCGCGATCGCTAATAAGGCCTGGTAGTCTGTGCCCGAGTAACGTGTCTTCCGCTTCCCGTTTTCTGTTGTCGTGTCCTTCTCGATCCAGCTGGGCGGCCAAGGCTTGCCTGTGACGTTTACTCGGGCGCCGTGGAAGCTAGTCGTTTCGGCGGGGAGGTGGTGGGGGATAGGAATGAAGGTGGATAGGTGGTGGAGGTAGGTGGATAGGTGGTGAGTAGGTGGATAGGTGGTGAGTAGGTGGATAGGTTATGAGGAGGTGGATAGGTGGTGAGTAGGTGGATAGGTTATAGGTGGAGGTGGTAGGTATATGGATAGGTGGTGAGTAGGTGGATAGGTTATGAGTAGGTGGATAGGTGTTAAGTAGGTGGGTAGGTTGGTGGATAGGCGGTAAGTAGGTGGATAGGTGGTGAGTAGGTGGGTGGTGAGTAGGTGGATAGGTGGTGAGTAGGTGGATAGGTTATAAGCGAATGGGTGAAGATAAGTGGAGGATAGATAAATAGTTGTAATGGTCATGTTAATTATCATTTTCTCCATAATCATCGTCGCTGTCATGATGAAAGCAAAGTGAATAATAATATTATAGTGATAAAGCAAAGAGAATGATACATATCACAAATAAAAGGATACAGAGAAACTCGAAACAAAAACAAAACTTCCCTTACTTTCTGAATTTCTCCGGGAAGAAGGCTGAGCGGTTCGAAAACCCTCGGTCGGCAGCCCACGAACCGACCCTCAGCAGGCGGGGTCCTCGGGCGCTGTAGGGCACGTGGGTGTAAAGCTTGTGCCTCGTGGACGAAGGGGGAGAGAGAGAGAGGGAAAAAGGTGTCGATTATTAGGGCTATTGCGGTCACTCCCGCTGTGGTATTCGGACGTCTTTTGTATCGTTCAGAAGGGTGGGGTATCGAATAGGGGGCGGCTTCGAACGCTCGTTATAGTGACGGCAGTTGTTTGCGTGTATTTAAGGTCTATACAAGTACTTATATAGACCTTGTGTGAATTCGGCAAGGGAGTGTGGGTAACAGGACAGGTGTTATTCTTGCGACACGAAGAGGAAGATCGAGTGATCGAGTGCGCACTCAGTCTAGCTCCTCCTTTACCTCCTCCTTCCTCCTCGGTGTTCCTCCAAGTTGATAAGCATGGTGTTCGTCATAGAGAAGGCCCAGTGGTCGCTCAGGAGGGCACGGAGCTCCTGCGGGGCGAGGCGGGTGAGTAGCAGGAGCCGCGTGTCCCACTGCAGGAGGGGGCGCCCGAGGGAGGCCCCTGCGAAGGAGGCGAGGAAGTCCCGCTCCTCGCTAACCACCACCACCACCACGTTCGAGGACAGACGCCTCTGCCAGGGATTCACTGTCATTTTTTTTTATACTTTCCTCACTAATATCATGTCTAAAATGACGCACATGTCGGTGCATTAGTAATCTGAATGCACGCATGTAAAATTCTATTTATTGATTGCATGCATTAATATAACCTCAACGGCTATCCTATCTCATATTAGTAAAATGCTATTATATTTCTTCACCTTATACATTAACGGGCATACTCTAGAAACGTAAACAACCAAGAATACCAATTGATTACTCCCATATTGCGTCAAACGGACCACCCCCACCTTGTAGGCTTGAGCGATCACTTCTGAGAACTGGGAAGAGTTCGCGTCCGGGCCTCCTGCTGCCACTTGGAACACGCTGACGCCCCTCGTGGCCTCATCGCCGGCGACCACCTGCAGGAAAGTCGTTCAGATGTTAACCAAATGCGATGGAAGGTCTTTTCTTTCTCTTTTTTATTTCTACTCTTCCACATCATCACCATCTCACATCTATATATTCACATCATTCACTCTGCATCTACCTCTATATCAATACATCATTCACTCTGCATCTACTTCTACATCCATCTACCTGACTATCACGTAACTAATCATCTATATCTATAGATGTATACTGCCTATATCTTAATCTATCCACTTATGTGTGTATGTTTGTGCACGCACCCGCGCAATGTATACAGTATATACACATAACAATAAATCTTTATGTAATGCATATAAAGTTTTTTTTTTTTATCTACACATAGTCAATGTAAATGAGACCGGCCTGACAAAAAGGTTTTCTCAGAACTCGGTCGTAATTGGCAGGCTGAAAAGAGCTGTCAGTCACGAATAATGTTAGCTTGGGATTGGATTTTTCTTATTTTCTAACAGTAAATGAAATTATATATATATATAATTTCATTTACTAAAGTTACATGGGAAAATCTCTCTGTCCTCTTCCATTATCCTTATTTCTCTTCAGTATTTCCCTTCCTCTCTTGTTCTCCTCCCCCGACTTCCTCCCCTACCCCTCTCTACCCCTCCTCTCCTGACATCCATCTCCCCCTCTTTTCCCTTTTCTACCCCAACTCCCCCATATATTCTTATATGAGGTTTCCTGTTTTTTCATGTAACTTAGTAAATTAAATTATATATATATTTTTTATTAGTTTTCTTATTTCCCATGTAACTTAGTAAATGAAATTAGATTATTTGTTTCCTTTCTTTCTTTCTTTTTTTTTTTGTCAAGTGAGATTCTCGTTTAATTTTGCAGGATTAAAACCTTTCCGTACAACCTTTCAGAATAAATATATCAATGCAGTAGTTATTTGTAGATTATTATTATTTTTTTTTTACAAATATTTACAGGTGACAAGAACCTTAACGCGAGTAACTTATCATAATCGCAAAAGATTGCTATAAAACAGCTTGTTAAATAGTCCCAAATTGCTCTGTTCCATTTGCTTAATGGTTGTGACTCGACTATCAAAGTGAGTAAAAAATATCTCATTCTTGTAGCTCTTTGTTTTCTCTTATTTCTTTGCTTTGCTCATTATATTTGTTTTCTAAGTATTATTGCTTCATTAATAAGCAAACTTCAAAGCCTGTCAAGCTCTTATAGTTGACCTTTCATGACAGCTTTGATTCCTGAGATTCCTGGATCTTTACTTTTTATTAAAGA